AAATATTATATAAGTTATATACCTACTGCCGTGCTGTTTTTCTTTACACTTATTTTTCTATAAACTGGACTATCCATTGCCTAATAAAAACAAATACTTCTGGTGATTACCGCGTCGACCTAAACAAATAGACAAACGTTTAAACTGTCTAATATATATTTCCAGGTGACATTAGACGGGCCTTACTGTCAAATATGTGACGTGAAGTTTGCGTCGGAAGAAGCTCATGACAGACATCTGAAGTTATCTGCGAGACATAGCAACGAACATGGGTCGTAAGTATCTTACTATCACATACATACACACATCAACAGCCTTTTTTTTTAAGGGGGGAAAATCATCGAATGACTGCTCCCGCCTGGGTGAGGCGGGAGGGAGTGTCAGACTCTTACTGACTAAAAACCACCCCGTTCCTTCTCCTGCACGTCGAGCCGGAGCCCCGGTTACCCGTTCTCCGCGACATCAACAGCCTATAAATGCCCACTGCTGAGCTAAGTCTCTTCTCATACGGAGAAGGTTTGAGCATTAATCACCACGCTTACTCAATGCGGATTAGCGATTTACAAAATTCTAATTTACTATGTTTTCCTTCACCGTTTGTCAGTGGTGTCCGAATTATCTTAGAAAGTATATATAACTCGGAAAAAGTCACATTGGTACTTGCCGTTGGTAGGTTTCGAGCCCGCACCCTCATGCATGAGAAGCGGGCGTCTTAACCTTCGAGCCACCACGACACTATTTAAGATAGAATCTTACTTCATCTTACTCAATTATTCTTCTTTTTTGCCAAGCTATACTTACTCGTAATTACAGAATCATGCCAAAACGCCCTTCACCCATACTCACTCAACTTTCGCATATACACCGTTAAATTTGAATCGTTTTAATCCCTTGGAGGTTCGAACTGGTCCATGAAACACTATCGATTTGTAAAGATAAAATTAAAAAATAAAGTACTTTTTTTTTAATAACTCGAATCAATTCTCGCATGAGCGAATAAATAATGCGAACCGTTAGTATAGTTATGTCGGTCCTAAGCCCGTAAAAGTATGAAGGAAAATTTGTAATCAATTTATTTGTTTACCTACGCAAACATCAGTTGATCGAGTCAATAACCTTACGCTTGATCGGGCCGTGTAGGTACCTACACTGCCCGATACGCAACGACCGACGACGACATAGGTAACTATCTGGCGCAACTTTTGGTTTCATACATTTTGTGAGTATAATCTTATCATTTGCTAATTTATTTATTTTTTATGTTACACCGCAGTACAAGCTTGTAATGAGTAGTATTCTGTTAGTTAAACCACAGGTCCATGGGATTAAAACGACTAAAATTTAACGGTGTATAATACTAAATAACTACTTCCATCGTCTACAGCCGCGTTCCCGTAGGTTAAAAAGCCTATATGTTATTTCATTCCATAATTTACCCAGTGGCGTAGCGTATCTTGGCGGAGCCCCGTATACAAAATTGTTTGGGGCCCCTTATGAAAGGTAAAATTTTTCAGGAGAGATTTTTTTTACATAAAATACCTCCTCTGCCCAAATTATCGGACTATCATTAGGTACTTAGACTGCCTCGTTGGCCGAGTGGTCGCAAGTGCGACTGCCGGGCAAGGTTCGATTCCCGGGTCGGGCAAAGTATTACTGGGTTTTTAAAAATCTCAGTAGTAGCACGGAGTCTGGAAATGTGCCCGGTATATGGCAATAGGCTCACCCCCTATTACATGAGAGTCATAACATAAATAGTGAAAAGTGGGTGTTACATTGTACAGTGGCATTAAGTGCCGAAATGTGCACCCTTCGGGGATAAAAAGGCGTGATGTTATGTTATGTTATGTTATGATTAGGTACTTAAGTTTTTCCGAAGTTTATGTCATGGAATAGGTTTCTTTATTCCATGGTTTCTGCCAAGCTTTGAACGCATGCATTTTGTGATTACTGAAATAAAATATAAATCGAGAAGTTTTTATATTTTTGCTTACACACGTTGGTGGCCCCCGTAGTCTGGGGGCCCCGTGTAATTGATACGGAAGATACGGCGCTAGCTATGCCTCTGAATTTACCCCTATTCCATAAATTCATTCCGAACCCTTCAGCCGTTTTGACGTGATTCAGTACCAAACAGACAAACCTGACTGCACGGTTGGTGCGGTGGCTGGGCAACCGGCTGCCGTGCAACGTGTCGCTGGTTCGATTCCCGCACGGAACAACACTTTGTGCGATCCACAAATTGTTGTTTCGGGTCTGGGTGTCATGTGTATATGAACGTGTATGTTTGTAAACGCACCCACGACACAGGAGATAAACCTAGTGTGGGGCAACGATTTAAAAAAAAAAAAAACCTTGACGTTTATAATAGTGCAGTTATATTATTACGATTTGTTTTTTATTCACAGTAAACCTCCTCGAAATCAAATGATGTATCACCGTCTCGACCAAACCCGACGCCAGCGCACTCGAAGACTTAATGACTCCAATCCGATTAACTGTGAACAGGTGGGTTACGTTTATTTACTCTTTATTTATATCTACAAAATAGAACTTTTGTATTTGAGAAGCCGGTAAACGAGCGGATTGATCACCTGATAGTAAGTAATCGCCGCCACTTTTGGACACCTGAAACACCAGAGGCGTTATAATGGGGATGATGACAGGGTATGAAAATTAAAAATATAATTAGTCCGTAACTTAGGTAATAAAAAAATATTAGACACGTATTTTTTTATTTTGTTGTATAATAAAACAATACTTAGATAAAACGAATCAAAGTTTAGGAGTGGGGGCTAAAACGTCATTTCTTAGTATAAAATGTACTGAGAAGTGACGTCACGCGACATTTCAAATCAATATATCTTCGAAACTATTCGTTTCCGTAAGAAAATAAAAAATACGTGTCTAATGTTTTTAAATAATCTACCAGACGGACATTAAAATAAAAATTAGTCGTCTACCCTATTGCGTCACCGGCCTTTTAGGAAGTGGGAATTTGAAGATTGTGGGGAACAGGGATGATGACGTGGTTTGAAAATTTAAAAATCCTCACGAGCAGCGTGCGCGGCCGCGGTGATGTCGCGCAGCCTACTGGCTAGCGTTGGCGCTCGCATCTCAACTCGCAACCCCTCTGTGTGTTCGAAACTAGTAGAGCTTTTCTCAGTATACTCAAGTGAGTAACCGAAGCGATTTTTAGGTAATTTTTAGTATGTCTCACGATAGTTAATACAAAAAGAATTATTATTAATCTTCTATGTTTTTAACATATAAAACTGGCGTCTTTGTCATTTTTTTTTGGACTGCCTCGTTGGCCGATTGGTAACAGGTGCGACTGCCGGGCAAGGGGTCTCGGGTTCGATTCCCGGGTCGGGCAAAGTATTACTGGGTTTTAAAAAATTCTCAGTAGTAGCACGGAGTCTGGAATTGTTCTCAGTAAAGGGTGGGAGAGCCATGTTTCGACACGAATGGGCCGGCTCGACCGGAGTGATACCACGGCCTCACAGAAAACCGACGTGAAGCAACACTTGCGTTGTGTTTCGTCCTGTGCGTGAGGTTATCGGAGGCTTAATTACCCCCCTCCCTAGTCCCCGTCTCCCGAACCCCCGAATCCTCCACCATCCTCAAATACCCAATTCCCAAAAGGGCGGTAACGTACTTGTAACGCCTTGGTGTTTCGAGTGTCCATGAGCGGCGCCGATTGCTTACCATCAGGTGATCAATCTGCTCGTTTACCGGCTTATGCAATAAAAAAAGTATACGTGAGTAACCAGCGATTTTTAATTAACCCTAGAAAGATAATCTACGTCTTTGAGACGCATGACCGACACAAATATTGCTATATCTTATTTATTTCGCATCGTAGCGCTCTGTCCTTCTAGGTTATCCCACTGGCCGGGCAGACCTTACGCGAGACGGCTATCTCTCCCTGGCAAGTACAATAATTACGTAGATAGAGGTGTGGCGTACGTTCGATAGACGTATGATTATCCTTTGTGTAACTTTTGTACATCATTCCCTGTAGTAGTAGTTCGTTTTATTTATCGTTTTTTTTATATTTCTGGTGATTTTGGTAATTTATTGCAATGACTGGATGCAGGGCCCTTGATTATAAACAAATTGAAATAATATTGGCGAACAGTGAAGATGAGATTGGTCAGTTGATTGACTAGTGAATTGGTTGACGAAGTTGCTGGGTCAACATCGGAGGAATTGCAGGTACCATCATCTCCGTCATGTGTACCCAACCAAGATTCAACTTCAAATTTTTGTAACGATTATTATTCCAACTCAACGTATATTTCGCGGGAGAAACAAACATTGGAATTAAGGGTCAAAATAGAAGATGAACTACAAATATAAACATAGTACGAACTTCTAGAGGGCCTACTCGCACGTGTAAAAATATTTATGAGCCTTCTGTATGCTCTTAATTATTTATAACTGACGAGATTATAATGAAATAGTGCAATGGACCAACGCTGAACTTATGCCACCTTGGATAGAGAAAAGATCAGAAGCTCCTACTCTTAAAAGATATGGCCGTGTAAATATCCAAGTTGCTGCCGAAAACTAATACTTTAGATGATAATGAAGAACCAGGAAACAAAAAGAAGAGATATTGTGCGTATTGTCCGTCAAAAATAAGAAGGATGTCGAAAATAATATGTTATAAATGAAATGAAAGCATTTGTGGTAAACACAAAACTGATATATATATAAAGGCTGTATCTAAATGTGATCGAAACTTAAAACTTGTTGATTTTTTATATCAAGCTTTTAATTAGTTCTTATTCTATATAATATTAATAAAATAAGGGTGATTTTAAACTCAAGATTAGCACAATTACTCAACAAAGGAAGACTTGATATTTTTTAGATATTTTGTAAAAGGTTTACAAAATTTCTTTGTGTTTTTAAATTATATTTATTTTCTTATAGTAATTATGTTTTTATTTGTCGTAGAAAACCCTAAACTAATGATTCAATAACTTTTTAAAACGCGGTTTATAGAAACTTGTCCTATATGCACTTATAAATCCGAATACGTCTCAAAGACGTATGATTATCTTTCCCGTAGGTCAAAATAAGATTATCTTTCTAGGGTTAATAATAATTCTGTTCATTGTTTTTCCGTCAGTGTGGCGAACTACAACGGAGTATGATATCATACGCGTACCACTTCAGAAGAATGCATCCGGAGAAGGTCCGAACCAAGTACCCTACGATGAAGACCCCTTGTATGTGTGAGCAGTGCGGGCAAATATTCGCGGTATGTGGTTTTTATTTCAACCCTTTTTTATTTAACTTGCAATTTGTGTGTGTATGTGTGTTTGTGGTGTATGAAGTGGAATCTTACAATATTTCTAACCTCGTATCCACTAGGTAACACTTTACACGCGACATGACATGAGGTCATCCAACCAGCCAACTGAAAATCAGTGTTGGGTACTTACTGTGCCCAGCTTAGACTTGGCGAGCCCTTTCGTCGTGGACATGCTGCCACCCTGTTTCTTTTATTTTGCTTTTTTATAATTATTTTTATTGTTATTTTATGTTTTTTATTTTGTTTTCTATTTATTTTTATTTATTTATTTTTTTATTTATTTAACACTTTATGTACAACTGTATACAATGGCGGACTTAATGCCGAATGGCATTCTCTACCAGCCAACCATAAGGTGATGCAGAGAAGTGTTACAGTAGGCTTTAAAAGAAGTTTGCATCTATCGAAAAAAAATAAAAACGAGGGTGATAAATGTACGTACATAATGTATAAAGGTATCCTAGTATATAAACTACATACCAATACTACATACTAATATGAAACATAAATATAATATGTAAATATATAATATAAAATATAATATAATATAAAAATAAATATATAATGGGTTTATATATTTTATATAATTATATATATAAAGTTTCTGAGGAGGGTGTTAATTGAGACTTGATTGTGTCAGTTTGTTCCGAAGATATTCATTGACTTTAAATTTAAAGGATAGTCGAATTTTTGTGTTTCAATGTTTATTTTGTATGTTAATTTTCGGTGGTCCATGTATATGTCCATGGCGAACAAATTATTTTTCTTTCTTTCTTTCTTTCTTTCTTTCTTTCATCATTGTGTTGCTGAACATTCAAATTCAAATTTCTTTATTATCTTAACAATTACAATATCTGTCTAACATTGAGGCAGACCCAGTATTATTATACAATACTTGTGTTGGGACCGACTCGATCCTTTCTTTGTTTATTTAACACTCTTAAGAATAATAACCTCGAGATCTGCTAATTAAAGGAAAAGCAACATGTTGGAAATATCGCTTATGCCTAGGGTTGCCACCTTTTATTTTGGTATTTAAAGTACATTGTCGATTAGAGGTAAGAAAAAAAGTACACAGTACAAAAATAAAGTACAATTTATTCTTATTGAATATTATATTTAAAATATACTTCTTATTGCTTTTTGCAGTTAGTATTAAATTAGTATCTTTACTAAACAATTGCGTTGAAATACTAAACAGTTGCATCTTTACTAGAAATTGTCTAAGTGGCGCTGGCGAGTGGCGAAATCGATTCAACATATTTAAGTCGATAAATATCGATATCGAATTTTGCAAAAATAAAGTATACTCGTGTACTTTATTATTCTTATAAAGTATAGAGTACAATTACCTTAAATAACGTACAATACTTTATTATAAAGTACGGGTGGCAACCCTACTTATGCCATAAAAAAAATGTAAGCCGGTAAACGAGCAGACAGATCACCTGATGGTAAGCAATCGGCGTCGCCCATGGACACCTGAAAAACCAGAGGCGTTACAAGTGCGTTACCGACCTTTTAGGAGTTAGGATTTTGAGGATTGTGGGGGATTCGGGGATTGGGGAAATTGGGGAAGGGGGTAATTGGGCCTCCAGTAACCTCACTTACACGACGAAACACAACGCAAGCGTTGCTTCACGTCGGTTTTCTGCTCGGCCGTGGTATCACTCCGGTCGAGCCGGCCCATGCGTGCCGAAGCATGGCTCTCCCACACTTAAAGTATTAGTTTAGTCGTAAAATAACGTATTTAATATTGATTAACCTTTCAGTATTGGGGTGTTAACTTTTTTTAACATAACATCACGCCTTTTATCCCCGAAGGGGTAGGCAGAGGTGCACATTATGCCACTGTACAATGTAACACCCAATTTTCACTATTTATGTTATGAGTCCCATGTAATAGTGGGTGAGCCTATTGCCATATACCGGGCACAATTCCAGACTCCGTGCTACTACTGAGAATTTTGTAAAAACCCAGTAATACTTTGCCCGACCCGGGGATCGAACTCGAGACCCCTTGCCCGGCAGTTGCACTTGCGACCACTCGGCCAACGAGGCAGTCTGTTGTTTTTGTTAGTTTTTTTGGTTTGTTGGTGTTAACTTATAATAGGGTAGACGACTAATTTTTATTTTAATGTCCGTCTGGTAGATTATTTAAAAACATTAGACACGTATTTTTTATTTTCTTACGGAAACAAATAGTTTCGAAGATATATTGATTTGAAATGTCGCGTGACGTCACTTCTCAGTACATTTTATACTAAGAAATGACGTTTTAGCCCCCACTCCTAAACATTGATTCGTTTTATCTAAGTATTGTTTTACTATACGACAAAATAAAAAAAATACGTGTCTAATGTTTTTTAATTACCCAACTTACGGACTAATTATATTTTTAATTTTCATACCCTGTCATCATCCCCATTATAATTAACTGTTTCAGAATAATATATGTCTAGAATACCACAAGTGGGTTCACACCGGGGTCAAGAAGTTCCAGTGTGATCTGTGTAAAAAGAAGTTTACACAGAAACCGAGTTTGCTGTATCATATGAAGACCCACACTGGTGTGACATATGAGTGTTCCGTGTGTGGCAAACGGTTCACAAACCCGAACAATCGGAATAGACACGTCAAGTCTGTGAGTATAAATACATACATAAAATCACGCCTTTTATCCCCGAAGGGAGAAGAGATGCGCATTACGGCAATTAATGCCACTGTACAATGTAAAGTCAAAGTCAAAGTCAAAGCATTTATTTCAATTAAACCATAGTTTGGTACTTTTGAAACGTCAACAAATACAAAATAAATAGTCCGTCAGTGAAATTAGGTGAAGCTAGGTGCTCATTCCAAAATGTATATTCGAATGGAGAAAAACGAGCAAGATACTACATTCGTTACTCTTTTTTAAAAAGTATGTTCTACAATGTGTCTGATACATATTTCAATACTGTACTGTAACACCCACTTTTCACTATTTATGTTATGAGTCCCATGTAATAGGGGGTGAGCATATTGCCATATACCGGGCACAATTCCAGACTTCGTACTACTGAGATTTTTTTTACAACCCAGTAATATTTTGCTCGACCCGGGATTCGAGCCCGAGACCCTTTGCCCGGCAGTAGCACTTGCGACCACTCGACCAATGAGGCAGTTTTGTGTATTTCATATTATACATTTTGTTACCAGTCTTTGAATTAGACCTTTGCATTACTGTTGTACTTGTAGTACTATTGCACATTTTTAGATGACAAAGTAGTTACACATTATAAATATAGGTAGACATAATTATAATATCGCAGACTTTAATGTTCACTTTAATGTCATCTATGAGACCCTTGTACATCACTTTGCTCTATCCTTATCCTTACTAATATTATAAATCGGAAAGTGAGTTTGTTTGTTCCGTTTTCACGCCGTAACTACTAAATCGATTGCTTTGAATTTTTGCAGACGTAAAGTTAGAAGTCCGGATTAAATAATAGGGTACTTTTTATCCCGGTAAAATTTTATATTCCCGAGGGAAAACAAAAGTATTGGTATAGATGGCGCTGTGTGTATTGGTATATGTCACATAGGCTACTTTTTATCCCTATGTGACGCGAGCGAAGCCGCGGGTAAAAGCTAGTTGTCTATAAAATCTACAGCGTAAGGAGATTTTTTGGTAGTTTTTTCACACATCGGGTTAGTTATTGAAAATTTCACACGGTATTATTTTTTCTCCTATGAAATATATACATAGCATTCATATAATTATATAGTTCATCAGGGATAATATAGGATTAAAATAGTAAAAGAATTTTTCAAATCGGTCTCATGGTTTCGAAGCCTATTCAATTCAAACAAACAAAATATCAAATCTTTCCTCTTTGTAATATTGGTGTAGATACAATAAAATCGTAGGAAAGTGAAAACCATACATAGAATTTTCTTAAAAGAATACTTGTGTCTTTACATATAAACATCACGCTGCGGTCGATAGCAGCCGTGCAGATCGGGTGAATCTCATACATTACGGTAGTTTCCTTTTAATGTCCGTCTGGTAGATTTTTTTAAAACATTAGACACGTATTTTTTTCTCACAAAATTCAATGCTTTCGACAATATATTCATTTGAAATATCGTGTGGCGTCTCAGCGTGCTACATTTTACAGCACGTTGTGATGTAACGACCTCACACTCCTAAATTTAACGCCATTTTATCGAAGTATTGTAGGTTTATACGAGAAAATAAAAAAATACGTGTCTACTATTTTTTCAATTTTCTAACTGGCGGACTAATTAGATTTTTAATTTTCTTACCCTGGCAACTACCCAATTATAGGAAACTGAAGAGTGTGTTTGTTTCTTTGTTTTGACGCGCTAATCTCAGGAACTACTAGTCCGATTTTAAAAACAATTTTTGTGTTGGATAGTCCATTTATCGAGGAACGCTTTAGACTATAAAACATCACGTTACGATCAATAGGCGCCGAGCAGAGCGGTTAAAACTGCGTGGAAGTAGCTAGTAGATATACTCTTCATATTTTCAGGTACACATCGGTGCAAGGCCTTATAAGTGTCATATTTGTAATAAGTCCTTCAGCACGTCCGGAGGATTGAAGGGTCATGTTGAACATGTGCATCGCAATGTACCGTGGCCTAAACGGTTTAGGCCAAGCAGAGTTACAAAGAAGAAATGTGAAGAACCGAGCATCGAAGATTGATTAACCCGGAACTGTGGGACTTAGCGGGCTACCGCGCTCTATGTAAGAGTCTTACTCTTATCATCATCAGCTGCAACTCCTGTGCACCAGGATCTACAGTAGATACAACCATGAAAACACCGGAACACTGAAGTCCGACGCGTCCCAGGGACATGAGTAACTGTCTTGGTTCCCGCAACGAAATGAATCAGAAGATATTATAAGAGGAGAAGAAAAAAAAACTATAGTTTCATTTCCCTCGGTGAATTACTGCAGGAGACAGAATGAATCATTAACATCAACAGCCGGTAGACGTCCACTGCTGGACAAAGGCCTCCCCCTTAGTCCTCCACGTAGAACGACAACTCGCCACCTTCATCCATGGGCTCCCCGCAACTCTGGCGATGTCGTTCGCCCACCTAGCGGGAGGCCTGCCCACGCTTCGTCTTCCGGTCCGTGGTCTCCACTCAAGGACTTTCCTGGCCCATCTGCCGTCAGTCCTTCGAGAGACGTGGCCTGCCCATTCCCACTTCAGTCTGCAGATTTTGCGAGCTATGTCTGTAACTCTAGTTCTTTGGCGAATTTCCATATTTCGGATTTTGTCGCGTAAAGAAACCCCGAGCATAGCACTTTCCATCGCACACTGAGCGACTTTGAGCTTCAGAGTCCTAGATTTTAGTCAGTAAAAGTAAAAGAAGACACAGGATGGCTTTCCCCACTTCTAAAAAAATACTGTTACGAGTACACTGTGCTATGGAATCAGTTAGGCTAAAGACTCGCGGCGTGATCTTCTCCCGCGCATGCTTCGGTAGGGGAATGGAGGTGAAATTATTTAAATAATTACGAGGCCGCAGTTTTCTGCGATCCCGTGAGTCCTTAGTCCCCCACGGTTGTCGCGGAGAACCTAACGGGTAGCCGGGGCTCCGGCTCGACGTGCAGGAGAAGGAACGGGGTGGTTCTTAGTCAGTAAGAGACTGACACTCCCTCCCGCTTCACCCAGGCGGGAGCAGTCATTCGATGATTTTCCCCACTTAAAAAAAAAAGTCCCCCACGGTTAACTCGTCGAGTACCGTCATTATAGACACAATTATAGAACAATAGGTTGCGGTCACCGGTGTCCTCGCGGTGTTTGACAGTTTAATATTATTCATTGTATTGTTTTATTAACATAGTTTATTCCACACACGGTATGTGTAACTGAATTATTGAGGTAAGTAATTAGACTTAATTTTCATCCTTATACATAAGTAATGTGAACATAATTATAATTTTATAATAAAACATTTGAATCTTTAAAAACAACCTTTTATTTTATTTTATTTCTAGTTTATACCTACTACATACATACATAACTTCACGCCTGTCTCCCGTGGGGGTAGGCAGAGACTATGGAACGCCATTTCTACGATTCCTACATACCTCTTTCGCTTCATCGAGAGTCATCAATCTTTTCATGCATGCTCGTCGGTTAAGGGTACTTTTAATTTGGCGCTTCTTAAATATATCGCCAATCTGGTCACTATATATACATATATAGTTTATGTACACACATATTATGGACATGTAGAAAGAATGGATGAAAGTAGAGTAACGAAAAAAGTATACAGAGCAGATATGAATGGGGCCGTCGGTAGAGGGCGCCCTAGACGGACATATAGTGACCAGATTGGCGATATATTTAAGAAGGGCCAAATTAAAAGTACCCTTAACCGACGAGCATGCATGAAAAGATTGATGATTGAAGCGAAAGAGGTATGTAAGAATCGTAGTAATTGGCGTTCCTTAGTCGCTGCCTACCCCCATGGGAGACAGGCGTGAAGTTATGTATGTATGTACACACATGCAATACAAAGGACAACACATTATAAAAACAATTACATTGGTCCCACATATTCCAACTGGAATTTCTTTTCTTCCTGTGGGCCTGTAGCAGGTAAAGAAATAATGACACCGTGACATAGTGTGTTAACCTTTTGAGCGCCATTGTCACAAATACGTGACAAGCGAAAACTGTCCCTGAGCGCCAACGACACAAATATGTGACAAAAACAGCGGTACATTAAAACACGAAATAAACTATTTAAACATTACTTTAATGCCTATTTATTTATATACCTGTAAAATAGAAGGTCCAAAATTTATTTATTTCCATAAAACTAATTAAATTGCATTATAAATATTGAGAAATTTTACGTTAAAAAGAAAGAAATAAACTCTGAAAAAAGAATGTCCTCACACGCCAGAGTCATAAATGCGTGACCGCTAGTGATGTAGCGCATGTTGGATAATATCATTATTTTAAATCAAAGATCGATGCGAAACTTTCCTCTGGAATATATTATTTTAGGTATAATTTGGTACTAGGATAAAGCAGCATTAATTTTATAAAACCAGTCTTAAAAATCATTCAATAAGCTACATAGTCAAAAATAAAATTTGGTTGGGTCGAATTTCGATATTCACTAATCCCAACTCGAGCGCATCCCTAACGCAACCCGAATTATCAGTACCCTGTACGCCATGGTCACGACTAGACGACAATATCGTGACGTCACAAGCGCGGCGACCAGAAATTAGTGAAGTGAATGAATAATATTTATGATTAATTTACTTGTGATATCGAGTTCAGAGTTCAGAATGCAGGTTGCATTGTAGATTTTGTATAATTTTGCTCTATTATTCAAAAGATTTATTAGTATAAGACTGATTGGTAATTGTGATAATTATATATAATCGTTAATTGTTTTAATTTGTTACTTTTTATGCCAGGTTTATAGAACTTAATATTTAAAAACATGTATACATAGTACATACTGTATAACATTTTATTAAAATTTTCTATTTTTTCATAGTTTTTATTTACCTTCTTAACCTATTTCAATCATATATTTTTAAGTACCTGTTACATTCGGAATTATAAATCTGATTTAAAAAACGTGTTTCATTTATTATAAAATAATATTGTACTAGAACATCGATAAACGAGATATTACGTTGCCACATCCTTATTTCGGAAGCGAAGTAGTTATTAAAATGGCGGGCCGTCCACGCCATGGTCACAATATGAAGACAGCAGTGTTGTACCTACAGTTATTATATTTAAATATATTGTAGTCTCATATCTGTTATTACGGTATTATACAAGTCTGTAAATAGTGTATAACTATTACTTTAATAGGAAGAAATGTAATGTTGAATTAAATTTCAATGTTATAAGGACATTATATTTCGAAATTAAAGACGAAAATGAAAATAAAATTGATTATCGATGAAGTTTTGGCATCCCTATTTTTTTCGTAGGTATTTGCGGTGAATTTGTGGCCTGGCGTTGAGGGCAAGTTCATGCGTTTTTGCTCTGGCGTTCAAAAGGTTAAAAACAATGAAAAAAATTAAAAGAAGTAACAATATTGATAAAAAAATCTATACATATATAAATGAAACCCATTTCTCATTGTCACGCCATAACTTGAGAACGGCTAGACTGATTTGGCTGATTTTTTATTTGTTGTTTGATATTGTCAGAAGAAGGTTCTTACGACAGAAAAAATCCTGAAAATCCTGCGGGAACTGGAGAAAACAAGATTGCGCGTACGAAGTCGCGGGCAGAAGCTAATAAATCAATATAAAAAAATGTGAAAGTGAGTGACCTTCCTTATACTCGCACACGCTCCCTTATCTCTGTGACGGTCACTCTTGAAGAAAATGAGCGTCTTACTTCTTCAGCCGCTTCATGAATATATTGACAACAAATTGAAACTAAAATCACTTAAATCAAACAAGTATTTTTTTGCGTATTAATGTTTTTGTAGTTCGATCTCGATTTTTTCACCAAAACCGAATATGTTGAATTTCTCAGAAACTAGCCACATTCGGATCAAAAACCTCAGGGCTAATTTTGTAGGAAATTAGTTGTATTATTCCTCCCGAGAGGAATACGTCGAGTTACAATTATAAGTGGTGACTTGTAACTCGACGACAGATTTGTTTATATACACTGTATATAAACAACACTGTAGTTCAAGAGGAAAGATAATGTTTTCTCACTTGTCTCTTAAAGATAGAGATAGACTTAGCGTCCGGAATGTTCGGCGGGAGCGAGTTCCATAGTCTCACTGCATGAACGGAGGAGTAGGAGTAGTCGGTATTTTGGGGCACAATTTTAAGATAGGATTTAAGATATGAACGAGTAAGGACTTCAGGAGAACGGATCAAGGAGAAACGTTCTCGAAGGTAAGCAGGATAGGAGGATGTTATAGAGGAGACATAATAATATATGCGAGTGTTCCTGCGAAGACGGATTGGGAGCAATTGAGCCTGTTACGAAATTCAGAAATATGACCGAACTTTCTAAGACCAAAGACGAAGCGGAGACATACCATTTTGTAAACGTTCAACCTCATTTTAATAGCTCTTCTGTGGCATCCAAATAGTAAGCTTCTGCATAGTAAATGAGAGGCAAAACCAGCGCCTGGACCAGGTGAATCTTAGTCTTCACCGGTAGCAGGGTACGGAGGCGCGAAAGGGAGTGAATGGAGAAATGAGCTTTCCGACTAACCTCGTTCACCTTAACAGCCCACGCCACGACAGGTTCGAGTCATTATGTACCCCCAACATTTTCGCGGTATCGGTGATTGGAATGTGTGTGCCATTCAAACGTAACGGACCGAGGCCAGAGACGTTGAGACCGCTTCCATAATATCTGCTACCGATAATCATGTCCTGAGACTTGAGAGGATTCATTTGCAGGCCAAAAGACTTAGCCTACTCGGTAACGCTATCCAATAAATTCATGGCATCGCTAGCAGAAACAGCGAGAATGTAAATCGTTTATATTTAGTACCTACCTACCCGTAAAAGATATATTGCGTTTGAAAAATTTTAAAAGTAATGCCTTGGTGGTTAGGTGGTAAGCAATCAGCGCCGCCCATGAATACCCATGGATGGCAAGCACCTCATCATAGACGCACTTAATTTTTTTGCGCTGATTCTACTGAGCGGTTGGGCACACGCGTCTCACGGCGCCTCTCTGTAGCTTGGCGCCCTAGGAACTTGCCTAGTTTACTTTAGGGATAATAAGGCTTTAGACACCCGTAACACCAAAACACGGTGGCTACAAGTACGTTGTTGGCCTTTTGTAGGATAGTTATGGGAAGTAAGTGAAGA